ATGTGATATTTGGAGTAGGGCACCAGGTCGCTGAGCAGCGCGGAGGGAGACGCCACGGTGGAGTAGAAGCCTTTGGTCTTCGTCTCTTTGCTGACCGTCAGACCTGGAACCAGACTGTTCTCACGCCAGTAGTACAGCTGGAGAACAGGGGGAGAAAGACCAGGTTAGGGGGGTAAAACAGGATAAACGGGGCAATGGTGGAGAAGCCTGGACTGTATACTGAGTAGGGTTGTCACGATACTAAAATTTTCAACTCGATACTCGATATTCAGGGAAATACTCGATACCATTTTCGATACAAGGATAAAAACAAAGACCCCAAAATTTAACTGAATTCTGTCTTTCATTTCAAACTGCCCTGTTACTGATGTTATCGTGACTGGTGGCCCACATTAATGACCATAACCCTAACCCTAACCCTAATCCTGACCCTCCAGCCTTCATAATTGTGAGAAATAAATATTTTTTGGTTAAACTTGTTTGGACTTATTGTACAAACCTATTTAATATACACTATTTTAACATAATATTACGGATAGAGTTTAATTAAGTGTTTGCAAGATTCATTTAACTATTTTTAAATTAATGTCTATATTGCCATGAAGCAATTAGGATTTTCTTACCTTGGATCTTCCTATTGGTGACCTAATCAAAATGGCTGACTTGGATGTGGGCGGAGTTGGATATGTACTTGATTAATGGTAGCATGTTATTATTAGCCATTAGCCGCAGCTAGCAAGGCTAACATCACGTTAATGATCATAAACAGCGTAAATAAATACATAAATAAATCAGAGAGAAGGGGCTCGCGAGGTGGTATCGATACTTTTGAAAATGAGTATCGTATCCAGATACAACATTTTAGTATCGATACTTTTGACAACCCTAATCCTGAGGTGACATTGGTCAGAGAACAGTTTATTTACTTTTTTTTTTTACATTTGAACTTATTCTATCTTACTTTATTTTCATTCTATTTTGTTGGATTGTGTTTATTTATATATTATATATTGTATAGATTATTATTTGTATAGACTCAGACTTTTGCTTTAGGATACAGCCTTACCCGGTACTCCTTGAACTCCCCCCGGACAGAGCCGGGCTCCACGG